CAACATTTCAGACGCACATTCGGCCTTCTTTGCTCTGATGATGAAGGCAGCAAGCACCTCTGAAACGTCTGTGGACTTCCGCGATGCTACTTGGCACAGTGCCCCAGAAGACAGTTATCTTCATATTGTATATTGTTCTCTCAGTTAGTTGAGAAAATGTGGTTAAAGGAATTGTGAGATTTTACAGGCATCTTTTCCTTACTTTCAGACAGGCGATCGGTTTATTCGGCCACGCTATGGCAACAGATGGCGGATGAAGTTTGAGATGAACACAGTAAGTGTTTTTCATTGAGTTATGATTTTTGTGACTTTTTAAAAGTAGTGGATAGATGAAGTGAGTATGCTGTGCTGAGGATGAGATCAATTTATGTTCATGACAGTACTTTATCAGATATGTAAATGAACCTTTATCCACAAAAATTGACTACCATTGCACTGTACAAAAATGTTATCAGATTATCAACTTGAGGACATAAGCAGTGCTGTATGCCCTGTAATTAATTTACTTTTTTTCTGTTTGGACATGGAGTTAGTGTTTCATACCGTCATTTAAAACTGCTATTTGTGATGTACTTGTATAGCTCACTTCCCATCAGGTCTTTTGCATGAAGTTGTCAACTCCCCATTGTCTATAAGCTTTATGAATTTCTCTTAAGATAAGCAAGTTGTAGAAATGTCACTGAAATTTGTGTCTGTTTTTAAATATATGAGTCTGGCCAGAATGGATTTACTACGAAAGAGGCTCGTGAAAATGGTGGCGGAGGGAGTGGGAGATTGGCATACACATGTTTGCTGATAAACGAACTTCTTGGCGCCAACATTCAAGATCTTAGAGACCAATGTGATGAGAGAAGAGCGCTCATTCCAGGATCAAATATCTTTTCCTTGTCACCACTTAGTGCACAAAGCCAAAAGTTGCTTAGTGCACCGAGAAGGTCAAGGAGGAAAATATCACCAATACCCTACAAGGTTAGTCATATTTTGTATTAGTTTTAATCTTCAAAAATCCACAAATGAAGTGTCTGTTGTGACTTCGTGATCAGCTGTTCTGCCAACACAAGCCACGAGACAGTGATAGAGTGTTTATTATAAAATAGTTATAATATTCTTCTTCTTTATATTAAGCATTGAGAGTTTCATGTGCTGTACTACCTTATTTGAATTTTATGTCTTTTCTGTTGAAGATGTTGGATGCCTTTTATCTCCAAGATGACTTCTACCTCAATGTTATTGACTGGTCTTCAGAGAATGTGTTAAGCGTGGGATTAGGAACTTGCATATATCTTTTTTGTGCAAGCACAAATCAGGCTGGAAGGCTGTGAGATTTATCTGGAGATGGCACCTCTGTAACTTCAGTTGCATGGAATGAACACGTAAGTATTGGCCAGACTATTTTTACTCAGGTCGTTGAAAAGTATTTCTGTTAAATTTGAATTTGGTTGTAAGATTTGAGGTTTTCACAGCGGTGATTACGAAGTTTTCTGT